CACCTTTTACCACCCTCCCTCTCACCGGTTCTTTGACTCCCGTGACGTCCGTTTCGAGGAGTCCACCCCCTACTACGTCAGGTACCCCAGTCGAGGTCTCCCGGTCCCTCCCCCCCCTCTCTTCCTGACCGCCGCTCCCCCGCCTGCTCCCCCGGTACAGCCTCCCCCCCTGGTCCAGCCCCGTCTGGTGTGTCTCAGGCTAGCCCTCCCCCTTCGGTAGCCCCCCCTGTACAGCCTCCCTCCCCACAGTCTTCCTCGCCGCCTCCTGCAGGTGCTCCCTCTCGAGAGGTTGGTCCTGCGACTGTCCCTGTACAGGTCTCTGGTTCTGGGGGTGCTGGAGTTGGAGCTGAGCCGAGGGTTACAGAGGACTCTTGTCTTCCGGGGGCTGGTACTGGTCGTGCGGAGTCTGGGGGTGCTGGTGCGGAGTCTGGGGGTGCTGCGTCTGGGGGTGAGGGTGTCCCTTCGGTTTCTGGAGAGCCTGGGTCTGGAGCTGGTGTTGGTGCTGCCTCTGGGGGTGGTGTGCTTGGTGCTTCGGAGGTCGACTCTGGGGCTGCCGCTGCCCCGGACACTACTCCTTCCCCCCACCCCTACCCGACCAGGTTCCAGGCTCGTGTTCGCCGTGCTCGTGAGGAGCAGTTGGAGTTGGAGAGAGAGGAGAGAGAGTTGCAGCGGCTCGAGGAGCAGGAGCAGCAGCAGCAGGAGCAGCAGCAGAGGCAGCAGCCGCTGGAGCAGCAGCAGCCGCAGCAGCCGCAGCAGCAGCAGCAGCAGCTGCTGCCGTCTCCTCCTCCTGTCTCGGGTCTTCGGACCCTTGGTCTCCCGTCTCCCTCTCCTTCCTCCTCCCCCTCTCCTCCCGTCTCTGGTCCTCCGCTTCCTCCTCCTGACCCCTCTCCCGCTGTTTTCCCTCGTTCTCAGTCTTCGTTGTCTCCTCCTCCTTCTCAGACTTGGGCCTCTCGTCGCTCCCCTCGTGCTCGTCCCTCGTCTCCTGTTCCCTTCACTGACCTTCGTACAGCCTTCCTTTGTTCTCGTCCACCTCGTCCGTCTCCGTCTGTGCTTCCGTCTCCTCCTGAGTCGGCCCTCACTGTGTCGCTTCCTTCTCCTGTCACTGACTACTACCGCACGTACCGTCCTGTTCTCTCTCGTGTTCTCGCCTCTCTTGTTACCCACCCTCGTGCCTCTGTGTCCTCTGTGTCCGCTCTTACTGCCGCAGTCACTGAGTTTGCCTCTACCCGCCGCCTTGACTTCGCCACCGCTCTTGTGGCTGCTCCTCCTTCCAGTCCTCTGGCCGTCGGGGGTGTGTCTGCCCTTGGCAGTGACGCCCTAGAGGACAGGCAGTTTGAGCTAGAGTTCCTGGCCGCCGCTTCCCCTCATCTCTGTGCCATGCTCCTCGCCCCTGAGGGTGACCCCGACGCCCTTGACATTCCGACTCCTCGCACTTACGCTGAGGCAGTGTCAGGGCCTTGGGCCTCTCAGTGGAGAGCTGCCATGGACGCAGAGATGGCCTCCTACAGATCCACAGGCACCTACGTCGATGAGGTTCCCCCTCCGGGGGCGAACGTAGTTGACGGCATGTGGATCTACAGGGTGAAGCGGCCACCGGGATCTCCTCCGGTCTTCAAGGCACGCTACGTGGCTAGAGGTTTCAGTCAGCGCGAGGGAGTTGACTTCTTTCAGACCTTCGCGCCCACCCCGAAGATGACCACTCTTCGGGTGTTACTACACGTAGCAGCACAGAGAGACTACGAGTTACACTCTCTCGACTTCTCTACTGCTTTCCTTCAGGGCAGTCTTCACGAGGAGGTCTGGTTGCGTCGTCCCTCTGCCTTCACTGGCTCTTTCCCTCCTGGGACCCAGTGGAGGCTGAGGCGACCGGTTTACGGTCTTCGTCAGGCTCCTCGTGAGTGGCACGACACCCTGCGTTCTACCCTGTCTGACCTTGGGTTCCAGCCGTCTTCTGCTGACCCGTCGCTGTTCGTTCGTCGTGGCCCCACACCTTTCTTTGTTCTGGTCTACGTTGACGACCTTGTTTTCGCCACTCCTGACAGGGTTGCTTTGGCACACGTGAAGTCCGAACTGCAGAAGAGACACACCTGCACTGATCTTGGTGAGCTGCGCCACTACCTTGGCCTGCAGATCACCAGGGACAGAGCTGCTCGCACCATTACACTTTCACAGTCGCACATGGTGCAGCAGGTCCTTCAGCGGTTCGGGCTTCAGCACTCCACAGTACAGCGCACACCTCTTGCTGTTGACCACAGACTCACTGGACCCTTTCCTGACGAGCCGTTCGAGCCTAGTGGTCCCTACGCAGAGCTTGTGGGTTGCCTCATGTACCTGATGACTTGTACTCGCCCGGACCTCGCCTTCCCTCTCAGCGTTCTTGCGCGCTTTGTTGCGCCAGGGAGACACCGTCCTGTTCACTGGACAGCAGCTGTGAGGGTGGCGAAGTACCTAGCGTCGACGTCAGGCATGGGGCTAGTTCTTGGAGGGCAGCAGTCTGTCGTACTTACTGGTCACTGTGACTCCTCTTACGCTGACGACGCTGAGACTCACAGGTCTACTCAGGGGTACTGTTTCAGCCTGGGTTCTGGAGCTGTTTCCTGGCGGTCCACGCGCTCCTCTTCGGTCTCGACCTCTACAGCTGAGGCTGAGATCTACGCTGGTGCCATGGCGGCACAGGAGCTGCGTTGGTTGACCTTCTTGCTCACCGACCTTGGTGAGCGGCCGAGCTCTGCACCGACCTTGTTCACTGACAACAAGGCGTCTATTCTCCTTTGTCGAGAGCCACGACTGGAGAGCAGAGTGAAGCACATTCACGTCAGGTACTTTCTTCTGCGAGAGTTGCAGAGGCGTGGACAGGCTCGCTTTGAGTTTGTGGAGTCCGAGGCCAACACTGCAGACATCTTCACCAAGGCGCTTCCGCCTTGTGACCACCAGAGGTGCTGTGTGCAGTTAGGCCTTGTTGACACTGGTTCTCGTGTTGCTTAGACTTGAGTGTACTGTTTACTTTGCTTTCTATATACCTCTGTTACTTCTTGGACTGGCCTTGTGGCCACTGTTGTTTGTGCTCAGACTGTGTGGTGACGTTGTGATCCACCCTGAGCTTCGTTTCTTGGACTGGTCTTGTGACCGTACTCGTTTGGTTCTGCTAGACACCCCTCACTTAGGCTATGGGGGTGTGTCAAATGTTGTAGCCTATAGTGAGGTTTGTCTTAGGGGGTACAAAACTTAGGGTTAGCTATATGTACCCCAACCAACATCAATGCATCATCCATTCTTCATTTTGTCACTAGGTAGTGTTGCATTCCTGTCTTGATGTGCTCTAGAATTGCTCGGTTTATCATGAACAGGTCCTGAAAGTCATTCTCCCGCATGTGATGCAGGTCTTCAACCCACAGTGCGTGACGCCGCCGCCGAACCCTCGCTTTGTGACGGCGATTCTCTCCGTAATCGTCCCTGAGCGATGAGGACCGCTCGTCATCGTCCTCGAACACGCCTGACTCTATGAGGCCTACAAAACTCTTCGCAACGCTCTCGTGGAAGATGGTGTGGTAGTAGGTCACCCATGCGACGAGTAGGCGTAGGATGAATGGGATTGTTCTTGGCTCGGCCATCTTAGGAGGATTATGACCGTGGGTTTTTTTTTGTGTTGTGAGGTATTCCTGTTATGCTCAATGTGTGTGATGTGACGGGATATTACAACTTCGGGGTGGCAATTATTGGTAGGGCGGATGGCCTCTGTACCATCCGCGGCCTCCCCGAACACGAAGGTGTTTCTTCCGCGCACCATGAGTGGGGGTGGTTGTGCAGTAGGGCTGGAATTGTGTCAGGATGGACGGTGACCAATCAGAGTGGGTCGCAAATAATTGTCGCGCATCACAGCCTGGTCGCAATACATCGATCGATTGGGACATGAAGATTTGGGAAAATTAGGCGCGACTCGGCGAAACTGGGATTGGGACATAACGATTGAGACACAAATCCACAGCGGAATGTACCCTAAATACGGAAAGAACAGCAGGTACACTATCAAAACTCCCGCTTTTGTACATACAGACAGCCCCCGGATAGGCCACCCAACCCAAGGTTGCATTGCAAATCAGCAGATCCTATATCAGAAACGACAAGGAGACGAGAGAGGCACCCACTGGGGCAGGCAGGGCTCATCCCACCACCATCGCACCTAACATGTCATGGCAGGTTGCTCAAGCCCAAATGTCGGTGACAGCTGAGATGTCTGGGTGGAAGCAGCAGCTTGCGAGCCAGCACTTGAGCAGGGCTGGGCAAAGCGTGAACAGGGCTGGGCAGAGCGTGAGCAGGGCTGGGCAGAGCGTGAGCAGGGCTGGGCAGAGCGTGAGCACGGCTGGGCAGAGCGTGAGCAGGGCTGGGCAGAGCGTGAGCAGGGCTGGGCAGAGCGTGAACAGGGCTGGGCAGAGCGTGAGCAGGGCTGGGCAGAGCGTGAGCAGGGCTGAGCAGAGCGTGAGCAGGGCTGAGCAGAGCGTGAGCAGGGCTGGGCAGAGCGTGAGCAGGGCTGGGCAGAGCGTGAGCAGGGCTGAGCAGAGCGTGAGCAGGGCTGGGCTGAGTGTGAGAAGGGCTGAGCAGAGTGTGAGAAGGGCTGAGCAGAGCTTGAACCAGGGCTTGAGGTTGATAGGGCTAGTTCGTGATATGGGAGGAAGCCCAGTGAGTGGGAGAGTGAGTGTGAGGGGGAGCGAGTGAGCGCGTGAGTCATGACTCATGAGTGTGTTAGTCAGTACATGACCGAAGGTAAGTGAGTGTGAGTGAGTGAATGAGTGAGGGAGTGAGAAAGTGGAGTGAGTGAGTGAGTGAGTGAGTGTGCAGGAGCTCAGGAGACGGTACGGCCGTAACTGACGGATGCAATGTACAGATTCTTGGCCCACTTCTCCTGCACATAAGACAACGCATGCCACCCCAGACCATACCGTGCACACAACACCATGCAATAGCACGCCAAATCAAAAGGGCGTGTGAACAGAGAAGCACTTTCAGCGAGGGACCTCCAATAGTAAATGAGGATTTGCAGCATTCTCATGAACGTTATGGACACATACACCTGTCTGACAGCTTCAGAGCTTTTCAACACGAAACTTCAATTGTGCACACAGGTTGACATGCATTCACCTACACATGCAAGCACCGCTTCACAAGCCCACCTTGGCTCACCTTGACCCGGGTGCCCCTCACGCAACAAACACCCCGACCGTGGACCACTGGGCTGAAAATGCGAGCATCGGTCACTCACCTTGACCTGACTCCTGAGTGCACTGCCACACAAGGGTGCATAGCCACAAAGTGCGAGCACCACACCACAGCACACACACCCACCTTGACGTGGGTGCTGGGGAAGGCCGATGTTCTCAAGGTCTCCTGGGTCTCGTCGGCGGGTCGTCTGCGCGGCACGCTGAGCAGGAAGGCGGCCTGGTCCCACGTGGCCGCGGTGGCCGTGATGCGATACCCCATGTCCCACCGCCTGTGAATGCCCTCGCTGGGGTACAGGAAGTCCAGCTCCACCACCTGCTCATAACGAGTATAGATGGGGGGAGACGGGAGAAGGGCAGAGGGTGATGCAACAACCCACGTCACACATGCGCGCCAAGCCGTGGCCATGTTGCGGCGCATGCCATTGCTGATGAATGGCATAGCCTCTATGCAACATGCGCACGAGCACATGCATGGCATCCACATGGAAGATGTATGCTTCCATGTGACTCCTGAATCTATGCTTGGAAGCATGTACTTGGACTCGCTGAAACACTCATCAGAACGCACCACATTGCACCGCACAGCACCATACCACACACCTGGTCAGTGAAGCCGGCGTTGCAGGACATGACGACGCCCCATCTGCTCCCAACAGTGGCCATGGAGGTCACATCGAAGCCCTGTGACTCCACCAGAGGCACCATACCTGACCGCACCACACCGCACAGCAACACATTGCACCACTCAGGACCACACTCCATTGCACTGCACCTGGTCAGTGAAGCCTGCGTTGCGGGACATGACGACGCCCCACAGACTGCCGGCAGTGGCCATGGAGGTCACGTAGACGCCCTGAGATTCCACTCCAGCCATTACACCTGAGCGCACTACACCGCACTGAACCGCACTGGCCACTCAGCGCCGCACTGGACTGCACCCCACCGCACCACACACCTGGTCAGTGAAGCCTGCATTGCGGGACATGACGACGCCCCACCGGCTGCCAGCAGTGGCCATGGAGGTCACGTAGAAGCCCTCCCGCCACTTCTTGTTGATCCACTTGAAGGGAAAGCTGTCGCTGACCTTGTACGACTGCTGCGTGTACGGTGTGCCTGGGGGAGGGGGTAGCAGGAGAGGGGGGAGCGGACAGGAACAGAGAGAGTGAGAAAGACAGCGAGAGGTGGGAAAGTTCTGGGAAAGGGTGTCACTGCATGTAGAAGCCCTCCCGCCACTTCTTGTTGATCCACTTGAAGGGAAAGCTGTCGCTGACCTTGTATGACTGCTGCGTGTATGGCGTGCCTGGGGGGTGGGACGGCGGGAGGTGGAGAGCAGTAAAGGGAGAGAAGAGCAGTGAGAGATGCAGGGCGAGGAAAAGCAGATGCAGGAAGGGAGCAAGAGAGGGGATGCAGAGCGAGAAAGTCGGGGAGCAGACGGAGATGCAACGGAAGGGGGAGGCTGGTGAAAAGAATGCACATCCTCGTTGCGACCCCACCCCAGCGCACCCACCTTTGGACATGACCACGAGGGAGTTGCCGTTGCTGGCGCCCGCCACTGCTGTGATGTAAAAGTTCTTCTCCCACTGCTCCATTATCCACTCCTGATTAAGGAAGCAGGACAGGGGGAGAGGATAAGAGGGAGAGAGCGTCACGAGCAAAGAGCTATTTTGCTGTGATGTAGAAGTTTTTCTCCCACTGCTCCATGATCCAATCCTGCGTTCAAGCGGAGAGGAGAAATGAGGGGAAAAGGAGGGATGGGGGAAGAGGGGAGGGGGGAGTTGTTGAGTGCAAAAAGCAGAGAAGGGATCTCAGACTGAATGGCTTGCATCGCAGTGATGCAGAAGTTGCACCCTCACTACGGCAAGTCACACCCACATTGAGCAAAAGGGATGGGCAGCAGAGTTGGGCAGCGGAGGGCCTAGAAAGGCGCACTTACGTTGGAGGAGGAGAGAAAGCCCACCCACCTTGGGCAGGAAGACGTGTGAGAGGGCAAAAACATGGTCCTAGACGTGTGAGAGGGCAAAAACATGGTCCTAGACGTGTGAGAGGGCAAAAACATGGTCCTAGACGTGTGAGAGGGCAAAAACATGGTCCTAGACGTGTGAGAGACCTGCCCACGACGTGTGAGAGATCTGCCCACGACGTGTGAGAGACCTGCCCACGACGTGTGAGAGGACGTTGTAGACCTGCGCTGTGAAGTTGATTCGCGCGTCCATGATGAGCGCCCAGAGGCTTTGATGACGACTGCTGCTGCAGCTTCCAGGCAATAACATTGGGACCTCCTTGGGCCACAGCACAGCACGCCCACCTTGGGAAGAAGAAGAACAGCGCTCTTACCTTGGGCAGGAAGACGTGTGAGAGGTCGTAGACCTGCGCGGTGAAGTTGGTGCCCGCGTCCATGATGAGCGCCCAGAGGTTCTGACAGGATGCCACGCTGCTGATGTGCAGCCCGTCCTCGTTGCCCTTCTCCACGTGCTGTGCCAGGCGCGAGTCGGCCACGTTGTAGTGATACCTGTGTTACAGGAAGGCGGTACCGAGGGTAAGAGAGGGACGTGAGAGGTTCTGACACGATGCCACGCTGCTGATGTGCAGCCCGTCCTCATTGCCCTTCTCCACGTGCTGTGCCAGGCGCGAGTCTGCGACATTATAATGGTACCTGGGAACGTTGCAGGCACGCAATAGGGAGGGCACAAGAGGGGGCGTGAGCGGTTCTGACAGGAAGATGCCACAGTGCTGATGTGCAGCCCGTCCTCGTTGCCCTTCTCCATGTGCTGTGCCAGACGGAAGTTTGCGACATTGTAATGGTACCTGACACACTCAGAGAAGGCAACAGGCAAGCAGGACGCACAGCGCATGGGAAAGTGGGAGGTTGCGGCATCACAAGGCGTCAACGCGCTGCTGATGTGCAGCCCGTCCTCGTTTCCCTTCTCCACGTGCTGCGCCAGGCGCAGACCCGCTACATTGTAGTGGTACCTGGCACGTTGCAGGCAGGCAGCACAGAGGGCATGGAAGCGGAAAGAGGACGCTACGTGTCTCATTCTACGTGTCACCTGGCTCAACTCCATGTGCACCTCTATCTCACTCTAATCAAACCTGACTGATGTGTGGCACAAGCAAGCACACAGCCCCAAGATGCAGTCAGCTTTGCTTCATGGGTCGTCGAGCGCTGTACACAGAGATCCACTGGGTGGCCGGCATGCCCAGGCGAATCTTCTTCCTTAGCTGGTCCCACTGCTGTGTGCCAAGTGCATAAACCCCCTCTCTTTCTCAAACCCCCTCACCTCTGCTTCATGGGCCGCCTTGCACTATACACGGAGATCCACTGGGTAGCTGGCATGCCGAGGCGGATCTTCTTCCTCAGCTGATCCTCCTCTGCCTCCTCCTCTCCCCCCTCGCCCCGCCCCCTCTTCTGCCCCACCTGCACCTGCCAGCAGGAGATGTGCATGGAGATGTGCGCAGGGGGATACATGGTGATGTATTGTTCTGTATACATGAAGATGTGCTGTGTGCATGGGATGTCACGTGAGGATATTCGCATGGGGATGAACACATGGGAATGTGCGTATGGGGATGTACACATGGGAATGACACATGGGGGGGAATGTGTAGATAGGGAAGTACCCACCACACCACACAACACCACACCGCACTACACCACACCGCACTACACCACACTCCAGGATCCCAACCCACCTTGAGAGAGCGTGCCCCCTCCGTATTGAAGGGGAGCAGTGGGGGGTTGGGGCTGAGGATGGGATCAAACATGGCATCACACTTGACTGACAGCACACCCACTCCAGTCAGGAGAACCACCACACACCTTTAGTGAGCGTGCCACCTCTGTGTTGAGTGGCAGCAATGCCGGGTTGGGGGAGAGGATGGGGTCGGTCGAACATGGCGGCGTAGTCGGGACGCTCATCAAACTTGAGGCTGACCACGTACTCCAGAAACAGCTTCAAGGGCGTGCAGGGGTGGACGGCCACAGAATTACAGACACCGCACCGCACCACACACCACTCCAGGATTACCGCTGACCTTTAGTGAGCGTGCGCCCTCGGTGTTGAGTGGCAGCAGAGCAGGATTCGGGCTGAGGATGGGGTCAAACATGGCGGCGCACTTGGCGTAGTCGGGACGCTCATCGAACTTGAGGCTGACCACGTACTCCAGGAACAGCTTGAATGGCGAGAAGGGGGGTGACGGGGTTGACGGGCTGAACTATCCACACACCTCACCGCACCGCACTACACCCCACTCCAGGACCGCTGTGACCCACCTTGAGAGACCGCGCGCCCTCCGTATTGAGAGGCAGCAGTGCCGGGTTGGGGCTGAGGATGGGGTCGAACATGGCGGCGCACTTGGCGTAGTCTGGTCGCTCGTCGAACTTGAGGCTGACCACGTACTCAAGGAACAGCTTGAATGGCGGCGGGCAGAAGCAGCACAGCATCTCGGGGGATGTACTCATCTTCTTCTTGCACACCAGGAAGCCCTTGTTGTCGCCCTGAGAGGTGGGCAAGATTGAGTGTGTGAGAGAGTGAGTGCAAGAGGCAAGGGAGAGTGAGAGCGAGGGCACAGGACACAGGAGCAGCACGGCATCTCAGGCGACGTGCTCATCTACTTCTTGCACACCAGGTAGCCCTGGTTGTCGCCCTGACGGGGAAATAAACGGAGAAGAAGAAAAGAGTGATATAGTGACAGTGAGTGTGAGAAGGAACATGAAGAAGATGCAGCACAGCACCTCGGGGAGGTACCCATCTTTGCCTTGCACTCTAAGAAGCCCATGCTGTCGCTTGGATGGGAGGGAGATGGGCGGAAAGAAAGGCGAGAGCAAAGAGAATGAGGGAGGGGGAGCGCCAACGGAACAGGAGCAGCGAGGCAAGTCCAGTCAGGTGCTCTACGTCCTTCATCACCTCGTATGTGCCCCCGCAACCTGTGAATTCACCTGATAGCCCTGCCACTTAAGACATCACCTGATAGCCCTGCCACCTGAGAGCTCACCTGATAGCCTTGCCAGGGCAGTCTCCCGCGCAGCAGGAAGACGAGGGTGTAGGCCAGTGACTCCAGGTCATCCCTGCGGCTGCCTGTGCGCCCCAAGTGCGCGTGTACTCCCGCGTAGCGCACCGTGCCCCTGGAAAATACATGGTAGAGCACGGAGTGGGAGGGAGAGAGGGGAAACCGGGCGGCAAGAAGACGAGTGTGTAGGCCAGCGATTCCAGGTCGTCCCTGCGACTGCCCGTTCGCCAAAGATGGCCGTGCACCCCCGCATACCGCACTGTGCCCCTGTGAAAGAGTAAAAAAACAGCAGAAGCGCAGGGTGTGGGGGTGAGACGGCAGCAGGAAGACGAGTGTGTAGGCCAGCGACTCCAGGTTGTCCCTGCGACTGCCTGTTCGGCCCAAGTGAGCGTGCACCCCCGCATACCGCACGGAGCCCCTGAGGAGGGAGGGGGAGCGAGGGATTGTGTGCATTGGGGCGCATGGGGATATCAACGAAGACAATGAACACCATGTGCTATCAACGCCTTTGCGCCCCATGTGCGCATGCAACCCACGTGGCGCATGTGGCTGTTGCGGACTTGGACTGTACAGCAAGGAACAATGTCCGGCCACCTGGCCCACCTGACCATCTCTGGCGATTCACCTGAGAACGTCTCGCAATGCACTGGCAATCCGCCTAGAACGGCCTGGCAAATTACCTGAAGAGGCCTTTTCACCTGAAGATGTCTGGTCGTTGGTCATACTCAACGTGCTGCCCTGTGTTGCTGTCCCTCCACCTCGTTGCTGCGCCACGCATAGACAGTGGGAGCAACAGAGAAGAAGCGGTGGGGAGCGAGAATAACTTAAGAAGAGAGAGAAGGCATGGTGAGGAGATCGTACTCCCTTGGTAATACGCACACATCCTGCTAACCCCCTCCCTCCCCCCCGCCCCCCCTTCTTATTTTTTCTTTATTATTGGTATAGAAAGATCCACAGTCTCACCTAGGCCCAGGTCAACCAGGTACAGCTTTTTCTCCTCTGAAGTCCCGGGCTGCCCGAGAAGAAAGTTCTCGGGCTTCACATCTCCATGCACGTAGCTGGTGGAGGAAACGCGGGCAGTTAAACAAAGCGGAGGGGCAAAGGGGCGGGTGCAGAGCACACGGCTTTGAGATGTGGCAAAGAAGAGAGCAGGGGCAGAGCAGGGGCAGGAGCAGGAGCACGGCTTTGAAAGGAGAGCACATTGAGACGTGTGAACGGAGCAAGGGTGGGCAAGGGACGGGAGAGGGAGGGGCCATGGGCCCAGAGCGGGGACAAGGGCTTGGGTAAACAGGCGACTGCATTCTCGCTCTCTATTGTCACACATCCCTCGCTAATGTCACACTCACTCACCCTCTCTCCTGTCACATACACACTCACCCTCGCTCGTGCACCTTCTCGAGAATAGAGAGTGCCTCCGCTGCTATGCACGCCACCATCTCCGTTGACATGCTGGAAGGGGGGGGGAGGGAAAGGGGGTGGGAGGGCGCGCGAGGGGGAAGGGGATAAGGTGATGACAGAGGAAAGCACTCCGCTGCTATGCACGCCACCATTTCTGTTGACATGCTGGCGGGGGGGGAGGGAGAGAAGGGGGGAGGGGGGCGGGCAAAGACGAAGCGGATTAAGTGATAGCAGAGGAGAGCACTCCACTGCTGTGCATGCCACCAACTCCGTTGACATGCTGGTGTGGGGGAAAAGAGGACGGGGGGGGAGAAGTAAAGGGACAGGGAGGGAAGGGGGAGGGGAGGGGAAGGGGTTAATGTGCTGTGGGCACAGGCTTCCGCTGCTATGCACGCCACCATCTCCGTAGTGGAAACGGGGAGTGGAAAACATCCCCACCCCCTGCCACCGTCCCCAGAGATGGTGGCGTGCATAGCAGCGGAGGTTGGGGAGAGAGGACACGGGGAGTGGAAGACAAACGTGCATCTAAAAGGGCGGCAGTAGGTAGAAAGGATTGTGCAAGCAAGCATGTGGCCATGTCTGTTGGGATGTTGCCTGCCTGGCAGCTCAGCGTGTTGCAAACCATACAATGTCATGTGGCATTGGTCCCACCCGGCACTCACGCTTGGTTGTGGTTGTTCCACACGTCCCACAGGCTCGGCCCCAACAGGTCCATCACCTGCCATGCCATGCCATGCCAGGCCATGCCATGCCATGCCATGCCATGCCATGCCATGCCATGCCATGCCATGCCATGCCAGGCCATGCCATGCCATGCCAGGCCATGCCATGCCATGCCATGCCAGGCCATGCCATGCCCATGCCATGCCACACACACGCGGATGCACAGAAGCAGCAGACGGGGAGGGAGAGAGTAAGGCCCTAGGATAGCTCAAAGCTTGCGGAAGGAAAGCAACGTCAAGAAGAGGCCCCAACAGGTTCATCACTTGCCATGCGGCAGCACACACAGAGCCACAGGCAGGGAGGGAGGGTGAGAAAGTGAGTCAGGTAGCAGCAATGAGCATGTCAGCAGGTGCATCAACTGCCGCACACTGAGAGCATGTGGACGGCACAGGAAGGGCCGCGAGGGTGGGTGGGACCGAGGGAGCACAACCATGTCAATACGAGAATGCTAAGAATACTTGGGATTTTTTTTTTTTTTTTCCTTGGTGAGTCATTCACCTGACACAAGCAGTAGCTGCCGTGCGTACCATGATGTAGTAGTCGCCCTGCCGCCCCTTGAAGTGCACTCTCGGCACGCCATGGCTGCCACCCAGTGTGCTGCAGCATCGTGCACGCACGTGCAGGGGGGGGGGTGGAGAGGGTAGGGTCGGAAGGGGGACAGGAGGAGGGAAGTGGGGAGAGCAGGGAGGGAGTGAGGAAAGCTAGGGTAGAACGGAGTAGGACAAGACAAGGGGGCATGAGAAAAGGGAACGACTTGGTGGCTTATGCAAAAGCATGACTTTCAAGTAAAGAATGTCACAGCCCATACTTTCTCGCACTCGATAGCACGTAACAGGAGGCTTTAGCTCATGCATCGACATGGGATGGTACAATCTAGTACCCCTGTTCATAAATCCTAGTGCTACAGAAGCACGCACGTGTACACCTGCCACTCGTAGGGCGGGCCATAGTTGCACCCCTTGCTGCTCCGGTGCTCCAGCTTCAATGCCACCTGCACCCACCGCACCGCACCGCACCGCCCACCATGCATGCACGGCACAGCAAGCATGGCAGCGTGAGCGACCAAGCAAGCACACCACCAATCCAACACGCAACACACACTGCAAGTTTTGAGATGGCACAGTCCCCATTCCCAGCAAGCCGGAACAATGCATCCTGTCTGTAGCTTGCATCAACGCATCAACCAGTAATGCACACCCATCCGCTCATCCCACCCTCGCTACACACCTGCCCCGCAACAAACTCCTTCAAATACAAACTCTTCATACTTACCCTCATTTCCATTGCGTTTTCACCCAGACTTTTATTTTTATACAACTCAAAGCGACGCCTTTACAATCCCGTCGCCCCTCTCACCTCCACAGCGTTCGGTCCAACCCTCTCAGTGCCGCCGCTGACGCGTCTACCCACGTACACCTGCCCGAATCCGCCCTTCCCCAGCTTCCGCTCCATCTTATACACAGGCGAGCCGCCCACTTGCACCTGTCGGGGTAAGGGCATGTCTTGAAACAGGGAGAGACGACAAAAGTGTCGCCCTTCCCCAGCTTCCGCTCCATCTTATACACGGGCGAGCCGCCCACTTGCACCTGCCGCGGGGGAAAGGCATATCGTGAAACTCTGACGCGACACTGGAAGCGACTAAGAAGTCTCCGCTCCATCTTATACACGCGCGAGCCGCCCACTTGCACCTGTGGAGGAACGGCGTGATGTGATATACGGAAGCGACATTAGAGTCGACTCAAAGCTTCCTCTCCATCTTATACACGCGCGACCCGCCCACTCGCTCCTGTCGGGGAAAAGGAGTGTTATGGATAATTACACGACACATTGGGGACAATAGAGTTAACGTTAACGCGTCCGCTCCATCTTAAACACGCGCGACCCGGCCCACTTGCACCTGTCGGGAAAAGGGATCTCGCGGTTAACTTTGAGGCGAATGGTATACTGAGGGGACAATAGAGGCGCTCTAAAGCGTCCGCTCGGTCTTATGCACCGGCGATCCGCAACGCGAAAAGCAGCGGCGTCCACTTGTGCATGTCGGAGAAAAGCAGCGGTAAGAAGCACGGTGCAGAGAAGCCTGCTACACTATCGTGACTTATCGTATTTCTGGACGGATAATTTGAAACGAATTTGGAACGCATCGGAATTTCATGTCTGCCGTACTCTTTCGGGCAGCGCCGTGGAACCCGCATCGCCGTCCGCCGCTCCTGCCGCTGCCGCTGGAGCTCTGTCTCTATCCGCGCTTTTCCGCTCGCTCTCGTCCTCCATGACCGCGCTGGGGTGCTCGTTCACGAAGAGCGAGGTAGTCAAGCTTGGAACTCGAGAATATAAAGCTCGATGTTCTTTTTCTAAACGAAGCAAGTGTTAGTGCGTGTGACACGTGACTTCGATTCGAAACAGCAGTGCGAAATATCCTAGCTCGCACAAAAACCGGCGCCTGAGGACGAATAAACCAACAAGCCGCTAAATCGATTTGCCCCCAGATTTTCCAGATTTAGCAAGCCGAACCTCGAACAGACTTCATGCAGACGACTACTTAAGGCTGCAGAATGCGCTGATCTTAAACGCTACGGCTTGACGCGACACGATAGAGCGAGCTAACCTAAACGTCTATCCACTTGCACGTAGGGAGTAGATGCTTGAATTACAAGGAGCGAGGAGGGAGGGGGATGAGTTCGAAGAAAGTCGAGCCCAGAAGAGCTCAAGTCGCCTCGCCAGCAGGTCAACCTGCTGCACGGCAATCCCTAGATAGCCGCGCGGTTTGGGCTGACGGCGCAAGGGGAACTGGGGGCAAGGGGGGAAAACTTGCTTGCCAGTGCCGCGTGCAGCACCAAGAGAGGCGGAAGGAATGCGAGACGAGACGAGACAAACATGCGCGTATGCGGCGGAGCAAGGGTTTCAGAAACTGGCTGGCTGCGATTGGTTGGCTGTTGAGTCAGTGATGCGGCGACGTGAATTTCGAATTCTTTCGCGGGGGGCAGCTGGAGCCACGATTTTACGAAGCACGGGATTTTTCAGGCCACGTGCTACGACTAACGACATTTACGGGCAGGATATTTCCAAAAAGGCAGGGTGGTTGGTTCGCAGCACAGTACACCCTACAGGTCAATTGAAGCTGGTGGTGGTGGAGGTTCGCTTCCCACTGGCAAGCGTCAAGCCGGGCGGTTCTGCTGTCCAACTGCAAGTGTGCAGACGATCTGTACACTCTCCCCAGGCTCCCATACAAAATATACCACATCTACATTTGATACCATACTCCACTCGATGTAGTTTCCCCAAATTTTAGGAACCTTTGGTTCATATAAGCGTTCAATATTTTCTATTTACAGGGTGATAAAACCACTGGCATCCCAGAACTAGTACGTAATGCAAACAACTCAACTATGTCATCTTCATCTTCATCCTAAGTGTCGTCCTCATCTATTTCCACATCAAAGCCATGCCTGCCAGCCCTGCCACCACTGGTGCCCTCTCCACCACTGCTGCACCTTCCTCCTCTCACATCGCAACTACTCCCTCTGATTGCTGCCTTTCCATGCCTCCGGTCTTTGCTCCTACCCTCCCTCTCATCCTCTTCATCACCACAAGAGTAATCCTCACCCGAGTCAGCGTCACCATTATGACCATCTCCTGAATCGTCATACTCATCAAAAGTATCACCATCAGAAGCATTGCGAGCAGCAGCAGCAGGACTCGCGGGTGCTGCAGCACCGGCGCGGGCAGCTTGTTGCATCCAGAGAAGCTGAACCAGTGCTTGCTGCTGCTGCACCTGCTGCAACAGCATCTGTTGCTGCTGCTGCTGACGCTGCTGCAGCATGTGTTGCTGCTGCCGCTGCTGCTGCTGCTGCTGCTGCTGCTGTAGCAAAACCTGCAGCCACTGTTGCTGCTGACGCTGTTGCTGCTGCTGCTGCAGCCACTGCAGCTGTTGCTGTTGCTGTTGCTGTTGCTGTTGCTGCTGCTGCTGCTGCTGCTGCTGCTTCTGCACCAGAAATGCTTGAAAAGCAGCCATGTTGGGAAGATCCCTTGCACCACCTAAACCACCCGTACCTCCTGAGGTCTGCTGCTGCGCTGATTCCAGCGGCCCATGGGGTGTGCTGCTGCGATGAGTGCCCTTCTTCTCTCCCGTCTCCCTGCCCGCATCACCATGACTGCTGTCACAATCCGCATCCTCACGATCTGTATTGTCACGCTCGCTGTTGCCACATCCAGCATAGTCACGTTTATAGTCCTCACTATCCATCTTCTCACAATCACTATCACCGGCAGTGGTAGCAGCAGCTGCTGCTGCATCGTTGGCAGCAGCAGTGGCAGCGGCAGCGGTCACAGCTGCAGCAGCTGCAACGTCAGCATCTGCACCCGAGAGGGGTGTGTAACCCCTAAAACTCGGGGTTACTCCAGGATTTGGTGCAGCTGAGGGAGCACACGCAGGGACAGAGGGGACATCATCAGCAGCAGCGACAGTAGCAGCAGCGGCAGGAAAACCAACAGGAGCCGAGATGAGGTGACCAAGCACTGTATACTGGTAAGCACCAGGTGAAGGGCCAGGAGATATTCCAGGTGCAGGCCCAGGTGTGGTCTGGTAAAGAGGGTAGCTCCACAACCCTGCCAAACCTCCGATCATACCAGCTGCAGAACCTACAGGCACGGCCGAGGCAGGACTGGGGCTCTTGCCTCGATGGGTGACAGGTATGGGATGCGGGAGAGGAGGGGTGCGAACAGGGCTACAGCGAGTGGGACCAGGGCTAGCACGTGTGGGGCGATGGGGCGAGCTGGACGCTGCAGGCTCTTCGGGCTTATCTGCTGCGTAGGCCTCCTGCTGCCTCTGGTCCTCCGCGTGTTCCAAACGCTCTCTCTGCTGCTCGTACTGCTTCTGCTGCTTGTCGCGCTTGTGCTGCTGCCGCTGTGAGTGCACCCGAGGCGAGCGCGACAGAGCAGGGGCAGCAGGGGATGCTGCTCTGGGGCTCGCTTGCCACTCCCCCCACTGCTCCTCCCCCATCCCCCTGTCCTCCCCATTATCCTCCCCCCTACCCTCCCCCATGCCCTCCCCCATACCCTCCTCCTGCCTTCTTCTCTTCCTCCTTGCCTTTTCCGCATAGCCAACCGCAGCACCATCCGCACAATCAGCCCTCCCCCTCTCCTCATTCCCTTTCGTCCCGCCCTCCTCTCCCCCCATGCCCTCCCCTTCACCAATTGCAGCGGAGAATCCTTCCGTAAATGTCCGAACCACTTGCCCCGGGAATCCCCGCGCCTGCGACTCAGCCTCGGCACAGGTGTGTAAGGCAGCTGGGGAGGCGCGGAAGGGAGGCTGGGGCGGGCGGACGGGCTGGAGAGGCGCGGGGGAGAGGGGGGCCGAGGGGAAGGGCGCGGGGGAGAGGGGGGCGGAGGGGAGGGGGGCGCTGGTGGCGGAGGGCTCCGGGGAGGGGGGGCGGTCCGCTTGAAAGAGCTCTTGTTGTACGATGATGAGTGAATGCAGGTCCAGTAGCTGTGATCGCACTATGCGCTCATGCCTGGATGGATGGGGGGTGGGAATGGGGAATGTGAAGCGGAAGTGGGAGGACAAGGAGACGAGCATCAGAACGGGATTGAGGGGAGAGAAAGGGAGGGAAACAGAGGGGATGCGAGGGAACGCGAGGAAAATGAAAGGAAAGAGACAGAAACACGCTGCGCTCACCTCTGCATGCCTTGTTGCTCACCTCTGCATGCCTTGCTGCACGCGCCAAAACTCCCGCTGCCCCACCACTGCCACCACGTCACACGCCCTCACTCCTCCCCTCTCTCCTTCCCTCTCTCCTCCTTCCCTCTCCCCCACCCTCTTTCCTCCTTTCCCACTCACTCCTCCCCACGCTCCCCCCTCTCCCCTTAATCCTCTTGCTCCCCCCATCGCCCCACTCACTCCCCTTCCTCCCGCTGCTTCATTCCCCTCCTTCCTCTGCTCCTCCGCCCACACCTTGTCCCCTCCGCCCTGTCCCCATCCACCCTTGCCAATTCCCCCTTCGCCCTCTCCCCTCCCTGCTCCCCGCGCACTCCATGCACCCGGTTTCATATTTGCCACGTCAGCCCCTCCGCCCACCTTCCCCTTCCCCCCCTCTTCCTTCGCCAGCCCCCGCCTTTCAAATCCCCCTTCCCCCAACTCCCCCCTAGGGGGAAACCCGCCTTCCACCTTCCCCCCGAAACCGTCTTCCCCTCCCCTTCCGCCAGGGGGCCTACCAGCGTCCCCCAAGAGCGTGTTTTGCGCCCCAACCAAGTCATTGCCCCCCGCCATCGCCCCCCTACCTCCCGCCACATCCCTTCCGCCACCCATAATTGCTAGCATAGCAGCAGCGGCTGCTGCAGCAGCATCAGGGGGAGCAGAGGCAAGGGGGACAGGCAGAGGGCGACTGAAGGCGGACGGAAAGGTGGACGGGTAGGGGGCGAACGGAGAAGGGGCACCGGGAAGGGCGAAGGAGGGGGCGGAGGCGGAAACAGGGGGGCCCGGGGGGGAGGTGCGCGAGTGGTGGCGCCACGCCCAGAACGCGCTCTCCGCAGCCTCATCCCGCGGGGACGAGCTTCCGGGGATCCGCGCTCCTCCGCCCGTCATTGCCTCCGCCATAGTACCTTCCGCCATCCCGTCCGCCATCCCGCCAGATCCCCCTCCGCCCCTTCCTTCCGCAATTGCGCCCGTGGCGGGGCTTGGGAATCCTGGAAATCCGCCTGAGCTTCCGGATGCGCCTGATGCATGCGGCGGGGGGAGAGTTCCGCCGATAGCGCGCGGCAGTGCGGACACCCCCCATGCTGCGCTCGCAACGGGAGACAGGGCGGACGGGGCGGAAGGGTCGGAACCGGAGGAAGGCCCCCCGACGGAGTGTGTTGCGCACGCGGCTTGGCACACCGGAGACGCGGCTTCGTGGAAGCTTCCAGACAACGAGCCATTGGTACGAGCGGGAACTGAAGCGCGCATGGGTACAGACGGGAGCTTGAAGGCTTCCTGTAGCGGGTCAGGAGCTTGTAACGAGTTCGCGGCTTGCGAGGAGCGCGGCTGTGCGGAAAAAGGCTGTTGGCTGGCGGCTGCGAAGGGCGCGTAGGCGAACTTGGACACGTGGCAGGGCGGCAGCACGGACGCTGCGACCTGATTGGTGGACGGGAGGGCGTGGAAACGGCGCAAAGTCGGAACGAGAGAGGGGAAGTCTCAAGCTCGTTAGAAGGGAAACTATTCGTGACTGGCAGCGTGACGGCGTGACGGGAGGGCGACGGATGCATGCATGCGCGGATGGGGGACGGACCCCGCCGCGTCGGAACGAAGGAACGGACGACCGGAAGCGGGGAACACGGGATACGCGAATGTAAACAGCTTGACGCATAAGGAAACGCAACGGGATCGCTGGAGGCAACAGGAAGGCGGGAGGCAACAGGAAGGCGGGAGGCAACAGGAAGGCGGGAGGCAACAGGAAGGCGGGAGGCAACAGGAAGGCGGGAGGCAACAGGAAGGCGGGAGGCAACAGGAAGGCGGGAGGCAACAGGAAGGCGGGAGGCAACAGGAAGGCGGGAGGCAACAGGAAGGCGGGAGGCAACAGGAAGGCGGGAGGCAACAGGAAGGCGGGAGGCAACAGGAAGGCGGGAGGCAACAGGAAGGCGGGAGGCAACAGGAAGGCGGGAGGCAAGAGGAAGGCGGGAGGCACAGGAAGGCGGGAGGCAAGCGTACCCCAGCGGCGGCGGGATGAGCGAAAGAATCTGCGAATGCTGGTCCTGAACCGCTTGACGGAAAACTGCTGGACGGGAAACCGCTTGACGGGAAACCGCTTGACGTGAAAACGTTTGAGGGGAAATTGCTTGACGGAAAACCGTTCGACGGAAAACCGTTCGACGGGAAACCGCCTGACGGAAAACTGCCTGATGGAAAACCGCTCAGCGGAGGAACGCTCGATGGAAAAATGGCCGACGGAAAACTGCTAGACGTAGCGCCGACCGGGGAGGATGGGGGGAGAAAGCTGGCGAAGTCTAGCGGAGAGGCGAGAGACGCGGCGCGGTGACGCTTAGCGGAAGGCGGCGCCAAGGACTCAAAGAGCGCCATCTTGTTCCGCGGGGGAGGCTTGGGCCCCGCCGCTGCTGCCGCTGCCGCGCTGCGCACGTCCATCCGCGGAAACAGCGCCACTGGTTCCGCCGGTCGGTCTCTGCTCCTGCCGCCTCGATGGCTTGAATTCCTACTCATTCCGCGATGTCTTAACTACTGTCGTTTATCTAATAGGGACTGGAAAGAATGTCAGATTTGATCTTTCGCACTAAGGAGCTCGACCTGTCGAATAGGATCACAACTCTCGCTCCTTTCCCACTTAATAAGATGTTTAGTGGAACTCGCAGCGTAGCTCGAGCTGACTCAGAAAACCGTTCGATCCTTTCGTTTACGGGCTACCTTGAAGAATTATCTACAGCAGACGTCAAAACGAATAAGCGGACATGAACAAGCTACGGGGTCGTTATGGGCTTGGTCACGGTCGCGCATCGATCATGTCTAAGTCCCCTGACGCAAGAGTTAAGGTACTAAGTACTAAGGAAGGGAGACTGACGAGAGAAGCAGACACGCAGCGGCGAAGCATAGAAGACGTGAAAGAAAGCGGAGGCGGCAAGAACAGAAGAGGATGCGGCTGGTTTACGGCGGACACGAATCATGGAAGATAAGCAAGCTGGAAGATGATGAGCAAGAACCGAGGTGAGGAGGGAGGGAGGGAGGGGGGGAGGAAGGGAGGCAGACACGGGCGGAAATGAGTGGACAACCAGATGCGGGTTTGACTCGGGGGAAAGGGTGAAAGGGAAGAGAAGGGTTGAGGTACGGTTAGATGGGTTGCGATGGGATGCAGAGGGATCAACAACGAGACGCACGGAAAGGATGGATGTATCTTGGGAGGACGAGAAGCGAGGCAGGGCACGGAACGGGAAGGCGAACTTCGAGAAAGTGGATCTAAAATATCTTCAAAAGTCGGAAAAAGTACATCGAAAAATCGGAAAAAGAAGCATGCCATGAGTTCACATGGTCTTCAAGCAAGTGGGCATTTGACACGTGCACACAAAATCTTTCGCTCTGGTCCGGGCTGGATCCAGCGGGTCAAAGCGAAGCCTGGCCCAGCGGCGCGAACTTTGTGGTCAGAATTTCTGAAACCCTTGGTTGCTCCGGCTGGTTGGTGGCGTGGCGCAGTTTGGTGGGGAGGGGTGGTTGCTGTGCTGTACAGTTTGGCGTTCATTTGATCCACCCGAAAGCGTCGAGTTGCCAGGCAAAAAGCGTCGTGGCTGAAAATCGGCGGGATGTGGTCAGGGAAAGTACAGCGCCTTTTCTGAATCATCTGTATTTGTACATAATACCGGTATACATACATGCTGGTCCTGGAGCAGAGACAAAGAAAGCATATGTACACCCGAATGAGAGCACCACCCCGCTATACAAGCTCCCAGTTGTCACCAATGTCAGAATCGTTATCTTCCAATGAATCTCCCAAAGAAGAGCTGTCCATCTCAGGCACCTCTTTCACCACATAGCTTGCCAGATCGGCCCTGTTGCCCACAGTGAGGAGCGGCGCTCCTTTTGACAATTGAGCGAGCTGCTCAATCCGACTGCACAGGTCCTGAAAATCACCTGTGAGTGCGAGAAGGGGATTGGCATTGGGAAGCAAGTGGGTGATACATGCGTACGACACAGCCATGCACATGAAAGAGACAAAACAACCGATGGACAAAATGCTTCCACCGTCACAAGCGGCCGACAACCGAGAGACTTAAAAAGAGAAAGAGAGAACAAAAACGAGAGGTCTTACCTTGAGTTGCACAATAGAAGCCGAGAGCCAGCGAGGAGTCCATGCCCGAGAGTGGCATGCGGCGAACGGTGCTGCTGGGGGAAACAGCACAAGGAGCAAACAGACACTTTCAGGTGATAAACATAGTGGCATGTCACATGGTGCTGCGCTCATGGGATTGAAGAAATGAGTAAGAATAAGATCAGAGAAACGACAGAGAAACACACCTGCAATGGTAGGATGACGTGTCCACATGGCATGCGCTTATTGGTCCTTCAGGAAATGCCACTGCCTGCAGGGGTCACCAGGAAGTCGGGAGGTGAATGGGCACTGGGGTAATAAGCATGTGTTTCTGATGTCATGATCCGACACGACGGTTACATGTTATGATCCGATAAGGTCTTGTCTACTCTGATGATGCCCAAAAGGTGGCATGGCAGTCGTATCTGATATTAACAAGGCACAGAAATACACAATCTGGAATTCAGGCTCATGCTGATGATGCACTGTGAGGGGTGGAACTTACCTGACAGCTGCATGGTATAGTGATCTGGTAACCACATGCTATTGTTACCTCGAGAGTATGCTCGCCAAGCAGTTTCAAGTCATGGCAGTTTTACCTGGTAAGACCTGCTACTCACCTGCATCATTCTGATGCGTACCAATAAAGAAGAGCAACATGTGCTGGTTACCTCCCATGCATGCCAATCTAACCTGGTAACCATGTGTCATTGTACCCTAACAACCAAAACTGGTCTCCTTACCTGCTGTGGGTAGTGCGGGTCCAGGAACAGCAAGTCGCTCTGGTGTGTGCCGATGAAATAGAGCGACGTGTTGGGCTTGCATCCCAGTTGCACGCCATTGTTACCCTGTATCCACTCACATGTGATGGTAACCCTGTAACAGCTCATATTTACCTGCTGTGGGTAGTGCGGATCCAGGAACAACACATCGTTCTGGTGTGTGCCGATGAAATAGAGCGACGTGTTGGGCCTGCCTCCCGCGATGCCCACGCTCTGCGGAAAGGTGAATGTGCGACGCAGAGCCTCCTGGTAGCTGTGGGGATGCAGTGGGCACGAGGGGTGGGGCATGAACGGCACATTAAGAGAATCACAGAAAAGCAATGGGTTGACGAATGTTATCTGATTAAGCAATGTTATCACCCCTTACAGCCACGCCCATGTGCTACAGCAGCAGCCTCACCGGGCGTCCATGTGGTCGACGCCGAGAACCAGTGGCACCAGGATCAGCACTGATCGCCATGCGCTCGCCTCCCTTCCTCCCTCCCCTCCCGTCACCCTTCCCTTCTCCCCCTCGTGTTCCTCCACTGCTTCCCCACCTTCCAAATCCCTTCCCTTTCCCCTCTCCTCCTCCCCCACTCCTACCCCTCCCCCGCCACACAGAGCCATGACCTCATCAACACACAGCATGGGCGCACCTCCCCCTCCCTCCCCCCCGGATGCGCCCCCACCACATGCACGCGCATGCCCCACAATGGGCCCCCTTTGCCCCACAGTCTTCCTTCTTCACTCCGTGACAAGTCACCAGCTTCCTCGTCGTTCTCTTGCCCCTCGACGGCATCTCTTCTTGCTCTTGGTTTACTCACCGTCCCCCCATCCTCGTTCCTTTCCTCCCTTTCACTGTCCTCCCCTTCTTCTCCTCTCCCCGTCTCCTCCAAGCCCACACCACCCTCTCCTCCTCCCTCCTCCATCTCCCGAACCAAGCTCCCGAGTGTGACGCACAGCCGGTACGGCCCGAGCCACGCCCCAGCCTTGACGCCGAGCCTAGCGCCGGCCCGAACCAAGTTGTGCAGGGAGAACGGGGAGAGCAGAGAGGGGGAATCCGCAAAGAGACGAAGCACCTCGTAGTAGGCCTAAGTGGGGGTAGGGTGGAGAGGAAAAGGAGGAGGGAGGGGAGGAGAGTTGGAGGAAGAGGTGAGAAGGAGCGGAGGAAAAAGGACGAGGGGAGTTGTATATGTGAGTAGGCCCTCATACATGTGAAAAGGACGAGGGGAGCAGGTTTGAGAGATAGGACTTCTCTCCTGATGGAAATGAACAGGGAAAGCGTTGGGCTTGGGCGTTGGGCTTGGGCATTCCTCTCACCTCCCCATCCCCACCACCACCTCCCACCTTCCCCTCCCTCCTCCCCATCCCCACCCCACCAACCCCTCCCACCACCCCCCCTCTCCCCACCACCCCCATTCATCTCCCCCTGCCCACTACACCCTCGTCTCCACCTCTCCACCAGCCCTCCTAACCTGCTCCTCCCTCGTCTTGCCTTCTCACTCTATCGCTCACCTCTCACCACCCTTTCTCTCACCATCTCCGCACCACCAACCCCCAACCCTCTCACCTGCTCCTCCCTGCCGACACGCCTCCTCCAATGGCGGCTCAGCCGGTGGCACAGAAGGGCCTGCAGGTAACGAGTTCGGAAAGAGAGGGACCCATCATAAGATGCCTCGATTCTGCTTTTGAGTCGACTCAAAAGCAGACCCTGCCGGCATGCCTCCTCCACTGGCGGCCCAGCCGGTGGCACAACAGGGCCTGCAGGTCACGAGTTCGGGAAGTGAGGGACCCATCACAAGATGCCTCAACAACCACATCAGGAACATGCAGCAACAAACAGCAATAAGAGCGAAAAGTGCAAGACGTCTACAGCAAGACATATATATCGAGACATCTACAAACAGATTTCCGTAGAAAGAATCCGCACTACCTGAGCGAGCATCATCTGCCCCGTGCGGAACATGCAGCCCCATCCTGTATCCGTGGTGAAGCCAGTGCCACCGCCACCACCAGAAGCGACGCCAGCAGCACCGCCAGCAGCATCGCCAGCAGCAGCAGCAGCAGCAGCAGCAGCAGCAGCAGCAGCAGCAGCAGCAGCGCAGGGCAGGGGAGGGAAGCCCCAGCGGTAGGTCATCCACAGCCTCGAATGCACGTCCACCACCAGGTCCTCCCATGTGCCCCCGCTCCTCGCCTCCTCTCCACTCCTCGCCTCCTCCCGTGTCACCCCGCTCCTCCCCTCCTCCCCGTTCCTCCTTTCCGCTCTCCTCTCCTCCACTCCCACCTCCTCGCCTCTCCCTTCCTCCCTTCTGTCCACTTCCCCTCTGCTCTCTCTGCTGTTCCTCTCCTCCCCCCTCCCTTTCTCTCTACTCTCGTCCACCCCCTCTTGCTCCTCACTATCCTCCCTCTGCCCACTTTTGTCCCACTCACCCCCCTTCTCCCTCACCCCCTCTCGCACTTCTTCCCTCGCCAACCCTCCACCGCCCTCTCGCCATTTCTCCCTCCCTTCAACCCTCCCTGCGTCTCTACCCCCATCCAATTCATTCTCCACGTTCTCGCCTTCCCTTGCTCCACTCCCCTCGCCCCTTCCCCCCTCTCTCCTCCCCTCCACTCCCTCCTCTCTCCTCTCCTCCACCTCCCTCGCCTCCTCCCTCCTCACCTCCTCATCCTCCCACTCCGCGTATCTCACTCCCAGCACCCACACTGCCTCGCCACACGCCAAGTCAGGTTGCCTGTGGCACGGGCGGGTGGGAAACACATACATGACGAGAGTCAGACAACCATAAGCAAAATGATGTAACAAATGTGAGGACGAAAATCTACGACAGAGGTATATTCTACAGGTGTTTTTGCCTTGCGCCTCACCTCTACCCCTTAGCCCACAAGCCGCCGCCCTAAAAATGTCCAGTCGATGCCTCCAAAACCGTTTCACCTCTCTTCGCTTGCATATACCCCTCCTTACCCCCTTTACTTCTCCCCACCCACCTCTATCCCTCCCCACCTGCATCTACCCCTCCCCACCTGCATCCACCCCTCCCCACCTGAATCTACCCCGGGCATCCTTCACACGCCACCAGGAGTGCCTCAGACAGACCAAGAGGGCTCTGGGGCAGCTGGCCACGCACACGGGGAGGGGGGATAACGGAGCAGAGGGGCTTCAGAGGTTTGCACCCTGCTTCTGATTCTAAGTCCGCCATCTTTGCATGAACGATTGGACCCTCCTCACACACACCATCCACTCATCTTCTCCTCCCCCTCACCCAACTCCTTCCACCCCTTCTCCCCCACCCCTTCCCCCCACCCCTTCTCCCCCACCCCTTCTTCCCCACCTGGCAAAAACGTCCTGTATCCGCCGAAGCTGCAGCGAGTGGACCAGATTGGACGCCAGCAAGGCCAGGGACGACCGAGCCTCGCCTGCAGGTTCGGAATCCATGGCGCGGGTCAACGAACCTAGAAGATCCGTGGCGCCCAGACCCGAAGATTCCAGCCAATCACGGAGCTCCATGGAGAAGCAGGGGGCAGGGACGGCGCTAGAACCAGCAGCGCCACCGACAGGAGCAGAGGCGTCAGCGTCAGGAGCAGCAGCAGCAGCAGCAGCAGCGTCAGAGTCAGGAGCAGCAGTAGCAGCAGCGACAGAAGAAGTAATTGTTGAAGAGTCAGGTTCGGAAACGGCAGCATCAGTAGCGGTGGATGCAGCACCAGCAGCTGTAACAGCGACGCGAGCCGGAAGAGGAGAGCCTAAGCGGCCCTCAGAGGCCGATCCTAGATCCACCATGGTGCTTTGGAACCTGCCTAACCAGGCTGCGAGGGACGGCGAAGCGGACGAAACAGTGGTAACCAGCTGCTGCAGCGCACCGTACGCTGTCTCCTGCTCGCTCTCTCGCCTCTTCTCCCTTTCCTCCCCTCCCGCCGCGTCCGCAGTCTGTGTCACCAAATTCTCCTGCCCACTTGTCTCGAGATTCCCGTCATCCTTATCCTCCTTAGTACCCGTTTCGCTACATCCAGTGCCAACATGTGATGCCATTATGAATGAAGAATTACCATTCGAGACCGATCGAGCTACAGTATCGACGGGCTGAAGCACTCGAAATTGGCTGTTGGGGAAGGAACATAGGACGGTCACGGTTCATTCCCATGAAAGAATTTCAGAGTGCATCTGGCCTAATTCCGAAGCCTTGTACGCTGGCAGTTCTTAGGATAGAGATAGAGATTAGAGCGAGCTACGATGGTATGTTCGGAGCACTCGAAAGTGACAGTCAAGAAAAGGAACCTAGGAGCCGCGAACCACCGCCATGCCTCATGGCGTGAGCGTTGTCGCTTGGGGATGGTCAGGGTCAGGGCGACATCATGCGTCGCCGAAGGACGAAAATCCCAAGGCAACTATACTGTCTACAAGAGGGCCGTTTCTTCTAGCCATTGTGGTATGAGTTTCCAAACAAAATTCCGCTGTTACGGGTGCAATGGATCGAGGTAGCGAGGATTGCACTAGAGTGTCAAACGAGTACAAAGGCTGCGTTCGGCGGCCGCATTAGCCCGCACCAATGTACATTGCACATTTTTTTCGATGTTCCAGGAGCCTTCCGTGATAACCAGCCGAAAGGCTATCAAGGTTCGTGATAAGCGCTTGGCTGCCGAGGCAGACCAAGCCCGAATGCCTGCAGAACGGTCTTTTTGGCAACCACAAATTTGCATGTCGCCGCTTTCCAGGAAATACAGCGTACTAGCAATCTGACGCATCCTTGATGCGCGCATGATGCAACGCCCTAAACACGCATGATGCGCGCATCAGCTCGAATTGGGGCAATTGAACAGCGCATCATGCATGTGGGGAAGGCGCCAGGTGCGTTCTTCCCCACTTCGATGAAAGCTCAACACCCTGGAATTCGTCGGAATTTTGGGGTCGAAATTTGACATGCCCGAAATTCGACATCCCCAATTTCCGATTTCCCGAACCTGCGTGTCCATTTTCCGAACCTCCATTTTCCAATTTCAATTTGGACATTACCGAGCCTCAATTTTTCAATTTGTCAATTTGCCGAGCCTAGGGCGCATCAGGCTCTGATGCAGCCGCCGAACGCAGCCAAAGATGTGAGCGAAGGCATGAGCGAACATTTGTATGCGAACATGCAAACGGTAACGCGGTGCGTGCGAGCTAGCTAGTGCTACGCTGGCAGCGAGGCTCGGGCTAGTCCCGAAGCGTAGGCCGACACGGCCGGGCCAGCAGTGCGAGGTTTGGCAAAACAGTGCGCGCGAAGTGGCGAAGTCCCGTTAGCAGTAACGGGCGAACAACGGCAGTGCTGTACGCGATGTAGCCGGACTCCGTAAGGAATGCCGAGAAAATTCCCTACATCCGCACAAAACAAACAACGAAGCTTTTGACTAAATGAACTAACGATACAACGAGAAGGCATGCAATTATATAGCGGGCTAACCTAGCTAGGCGGGAACCTCGGGAACACGAGGTTGGGTGCAGGTTGGGCAAAGGAAAACCGAAGGCGACGCGAGGTTGCTTCGGCAGCAAGCAAAGTGGCCAGACGTGCACTTCCGAAAGTTGGGGTTGTACGCGGTTGAGTAAACCCCAATAGGAAAAAAGTGATTCTCCTTACACTACCCCCTCCCTTGAGAAAGGTGGACAACATCCGGGCGAGATAATCTCGAAGCAACGAATGTGCTTCAAAGGAGGCAGATGGCACCCATGTATCGTCCTCGCTGGTGCGGACGGTCCAACGGATCAGGAAATCCACGTGGCGTCCTCCTGCGTCAAGTCGTACACGATATGAATTTTTTTTACAGGTCAAGCGTCGATTCCAGGACAGGGCGAGCTGTCGGGGCTGAATTTTTGACGGGCAATGTCTGTCGTGGCCGGTACGAAGGGCTTGAGGAGGCTGAAGTGGAAGGCATCGTGAATACGCCAGTCGTCGGGCAGCAGAAGTTTCGCACTGAAGGGTGTGATCATTTTCAAAATGCGGAAAGGTCCGTAGTAGCGTGGGCGAAGCTTTAAGGAGCGGGGCAGGCGGAGGTTCTTAGTGTCGAGAAGCACTAGTTGCCCTATGCCATGTTGATTTCCTGGCGTAGCAAATCCGAATGTTTGCAGGCAGTTGCATTAGCTTTTCGGATGGCTTCGACAACTTTCTCGCGGATAGCATGGAGTTCCGTCACAAAGTGTTGCGAGCGTGGTACTGGGTTCTCAGGGGTCGTTGCTGTGGGTACCACTGGATCCATCTCGTAATTGAGCATCAAATGGGGAATGGTTGGCAGTGCTGGACGGGGTGTTGTTGTACGCAATTTCTAGCATCGGGAGCGAATATTCCCATCGAGCGGAGTCGGGGCAGTTCGTGCGGATGAGCTGCTCCATCGTCTGATTGGTCCGCTCGGTCTGGCCGTTGGTTTGCGGGTGGTAGGCCGACTGCGGTACTGGTCCCTTGCGTTAATGATCGCGGACGGGATACCGTGAAGACGAACGACTGTCGAGATGAAGAGGCGCACAGTTTCTTCGGCTGTGATTATTGTTCGACACGGTGCAAAACTGCGCCACTTTCGTGAGGCGATCGATGACGACGAGCACCGCATCGTTACCGGTCACGTCAGCTGGTAGCCCCGTGACAAAATCCATTGTCACTTGTTGCCACGGTCGCTCGGGTGGCTCCAGGCGTTACAACAGGCCGGCCAGGCGCTGACGTGTCGATTTAATTGCCCGGCACACTCTGCATGAAGACACATAACGCTACACGTCTGAGTTAGAGTCAGGCCAATAATACTGTCGATGCACAACTTTCTGCGTCTTGCCAACGCCGAAATGTCCGGAGAGATTCGAATCGTGGACCTCCTGAATAAGCAATTCTTCTAGCAGACAATAAGCAGGTACCCAAATCCCGTCAGTTCCGGCTTTCAGGTAATAATCCCCTTTCTGCATCGTCGCCTGCAGGTGATTGCCACTCATGAAAAACGGGTTCGTCTTGCAGCCGTGGAATGATATCATCTTAAGGAAATGGGAAAATATATGGTATTCATTGTGTTTCTACAGAGAAAATGACTATTTTTCACATCCACAACAAGTGTTTCCATTTCGTTCCACGTGGTTCTCAAAATTTGAGCTCCTGAACTCTGCCTGGTACGCCCATTATAGGTGCGCATACTGACCAGACTACCCGACGCATCACTTTGACTGGTCCATTGAATCGGATGCCTCATCTTTTGTGCTAGTCCACTAGATTAGACTATTTTCCACATCCACAACAAGTGTTTCCATTTCGTTCGATGTGGTTCTCAAAATTTGAGCTCCTGAACTCTGCCTGGTACACCCATTATAGGTGCGCATACTGACCAGACTAACCGACGCATCACTTTGACTGGTCCACTGAATCGGATGCCTCATCTTTTGTGCTAGTCCACTAGATTCGGCTATTTTCCACATCCACAACAAGTTTTTCCATTTCGTTCCACGTGGTTCTCAAAATTTGATCTCCCGAACTCTGCCTGGTACACCCATTATAGGTGCGCATACTGACCAGACTAACCGACGCATCACTTTGACTGGTCCACTGAATCGGATGCCTCATCTTTTGTGCTAGTCCACTAGATTATACATTTTTCCACTTTCAGAACAAGTGTTTCCATTTTGTTCCACGTGGTTCTCAAAATTTGAGCTCCTGAACTCTGCCTGGTACGCCCATTATAAGTGCGCATACTGACCAGACTAACCGACGCATCACTTCACTGGTCCACTGAATCGGATGCCTCATCTTTTGTGCTAGTCCACTAGATTAGAATATTTTCCACATCCACAACAAGTGTTTCCATTTCGTTCCACGTGGTTCTCAAAATTTGAGCTCCTGAACTCTGCCTGGTACGCCCATTACAGGTGCGCATACTGACCAGACTACCCGACGCATCACTTTGACTGGTCCACTGAATCGGATGCCTCTTCTTTTGTGCTAGTCCACTAGATTAGACTATTTTCCACATCCACAACAAGTTTTTCCATTTCGTTCCACGTGGTTCTCAAAATTTGAGCTCCTGAACTCTGCCTGGTACGCCCATTATAGGTGCGCATACTGACCAGACTACCTGACGCATCACTTTGACTGGTCCACTGAATCGGATGCCTCATCTTTTGTGCTAGTCCACTTGATTAGACTATTTTCCACATCCACAACAAGTTTTTCCATTTCGTTCCACGTGGTTCTCAAAATTTGAGCTCCTGAACTCTGCCTGGTACGCCCATTACAGGTGCGCATACTGACCAGACTACCCGACGCATCACTTTGACTGGTCCACTGAATCGGATGCCTCTTCTTTTGTGCTAGTCCACTAGATTAGACTATTTTCCACATCCACAACAAGTTTTTCCATTTCGTTCCACGTGGTTCTCAAAATTTGAGCTCCTGAACTCTGCCTGGTACGCCCATTATAGGTGCGCATACTGACCAGACT